ATCTCTGTCCATCTATTCTCCTTTCCCTTGTGTACACAATATACTCTTCCCATTACTTTGGCCTTAACCGATTTCTCTCCTGCACTAAGTAACCATGGTCTGAAGATCGCAGTTGCTGGGTTTAATTAACTTCTCTACTAAGTAACCATGGTCTGAAGATCGCAGTTGCTGGGTTTAACTCACTTAACCCCATTGATAAGCGTACAGTACGTGGTCATCGACGTGTGGGGAATTAGTCCCTAGACACTTTTAACCAGACTGCCACCCTTCAAAGAGCATCTTCTTGGTTCGTAACTTGATGTCACTTCCAGGACACCCATCCCAATAAGTCAACATGAGGTTGAAGCGAACTGCCTGAGTATACAGCCCCGGTTCATATCGCTCGTTATGGTATAGGCATGCAAGATCGAAATCTTATCGAGAAAGCAAAAAAGTTATGTTGGCAAGCAATTGTTTTCGGTCATTCATCATCAGGCCGGTACATGACATGGGGAATGAAAATGGTCAGTTAATTGCAGCGTTTATATGATCGTCAGGCGGAAAACTTATGCGTACTCTTCACTAATTCCCCCCTTCTACGAATGGGAGGTAAAGACAGACTACCGATTCAGGTCACGTCGATGTACATGTATTCTTTCCCTTGGTCCTGTGGAGCGGGATATATTGGCCGAACAACGTGGCGTCTGGAGAAGAGAATCCGCGAGCAAATACCAGCGTGGTTCAGCAAAGGAGAGAATTGACCAATCTCAAGCTCAATCCTCACCCACCTAGTTGATACGAACCACCATGTGGACGCGAGAGAAGCCGTTCCGCTCATATACCACACGCCGACACACTATTCCAAAGGCCTACGCAAATGGGTGCTAGCCAGAGCAGAGTCAGTGGCTATGTGGTTAGCAAAACCCACTCTATGCTGTCAAATGGCGCTGGTACAAGCAATCTGTCTCCCTTGGCCGACTGCATGCGGAAATCCCAAGCTTCCTGAAGCCACGTCGTCCTAAAACACAGAAAACGAAGCCACAGAGAATAGTCAAGCGCAAGCGGCGCGGTTGACATACAGACCTCAATCCACGCGGATTTCTAATCGTTCGGTAGACATCCGGTCTCGAAGGATGTTTGGAAGAGCGTAGAGACTGGTTTTGCTAACAAACTAACGAGCTCCTACAATATCTTGGCCGGTGCTTCATCGGGACCCGGTGGCCTAGATTTCTTTAGTCCTAACAGCTCCTTAAGGACAATAACCTTGGCGAAGTGGGCAGCCTCGACTATTGTATTTACTTCGGATTCATCGGCCGGGTAATCGTATCCCGTTCCCTTTGTGGAAACTGACCGAAAAAAAATATCTGAAAAATTGTCAGCTTTCGCTTCTTCTTCAGGAAGGTCTATGCCCTCGGCGGTCCTCAGCTTGGACATCGGATCCTCGTTTCGTGTACTCTGCCTGAGGTAACTGTAAAAACAGTTTGAGGTTCACGGTTAGGCAGGTCCACTTCGAAGTTTCGTCTTGTTCTAAGAATAAGGTCCTTGACCCGATTTTCCAGAGTTTTATTCGCAGTTAGAGATCCAGGAGTCCTCTCCGTAAGCGATTTTTTCCACAGTCTCCGCTTTTTATTAACTTATATTTTTTAAGGCCCGTGTAAGCCATCCAGGTCTGTTGATAAACATTTTCTTCGAAATCAGACAGTGGTTTTTGATGAGCCTGTCCAATAAGTCCCAGAACTTTTCCCAGAACTCGGTTATTTTTCCAAAAAATGAAGATGCCCCACCCAGTGCGCGTGAGTTCGGCCATCATTCGATCGAAATCGTCTCACCAAATATTTCTTTTGACTGTTGTGGGTCTCTCGGGTGTTGAAAAAAGCGAGTTCTCCCATAACAGTACATAATGGTCCCTTTTATCCAGCGGAGGTAGACATGACACTTTATTGATGCTGTTCTGCGATTTCATGAGAACGAGGTCCAGACCATTGACCTATTGGCTTTCGCGCACCCTACTTGGAAATGTGACGCGCTGTGTGAGTACTTACATGAGCGTCACGTTCAGGAGCAAATGTCAAAGGTCAGATCAGAGGCTTAAGCGTAGGCCGAGCTCCAGTTCTGAAATTAACCGGAATTCTCCGCATCCACGCCATGCTGAAGCAACTGCGACTGCGTTGAAGTGGTCAGCTCGTGCAAATAGACAACCAAACCTGAAAATCATAGCGGCAAGTTTTTCTCCACTAACTTAAGCCACCGCCATAAGGACACTATAAGTGCTATCTCGAAGTTCCTGTAAACCAACTCGGTGGCCTGCGAAGACCTCATCCAGGCCCAAGTTCAGTTCCATATAGCAGCCCTTTCAAAATTCCCCACAACCTTTTTTCGCAAAACTTATGTTGTCTTGAGCCAGTTGCTGAGCGAAACTGTCTAGTTTAGGGCCTATTTTAATTTTGTGTTTGAAAGTGTGACAGTTAGTCTGTAGCGGTTCTCCGGTTAGCCTTGCGCTGACACTTTTATCGCAGGCCTACACGTGACTCTCCACTGCCCGCGCTCTCGGCCAATTCTTTGGAGCGTCCAGCGTAACTCATCAGGCCTTGGCGTGGCCATCGCGTGAGGTGTCAAGGTAGTTTTGATGTTTTGCATTTCCTCTCGCGAGCTATGCACCTTCTGCTGATTCGCTGGCGGGCGCTCTCAGATCCCGTAACCTCTGCGCGGACGCACAGACCAGACACACGTCAACT